GGCTGCAGATCTTCACCTTGTAGCTTTGGCCAAAGTCTGTGGCTTCAAGGGTCCAGTCTGGACTCTCAAACAACTTAAGTGCATTTTGTCATGTTAGGTAATGACTGCTTTTGAAAATGAAGGGGAATGGTGTGTTACACTCGGAACCTTGGCTCCCTGAATGAGAGAGAGTCACTCCCCACAATACAACCATCAGTAATTTAGATACAGGCAGCAGAGAGCCATGCAGCAGGGGTTGAATAGGTGACTTTATTACACATACTCAAGTGCAGAGCATTTCCCACGTGTTGATAAGTGCACTTCCCTCTTACCTGAAATTACGACTCCTGCAAAAATGACAAGTGCTAAGAAAATAATCTGTGGCTCTTTAAGAACATTACAGGCTAAAACTGAATAGAAGATGTTTCAGGGGTGCAAGGTGCAGCTCCTCTGTTGTATAAAGGATTACTCACGAAGCGAGGTGACAGGAAACTATAGGTTCGACAGTTTGGCTGTTTGAGTTACTTTGCCAACCACATGCAATGAGAAACAAAGATCACCTCTCCAAAAAATTGACAGGAAATTCTAAAGAGTATCACTCAGAAATCTGAAAGTAGACAAACGAATAGGCTGCCGGTATTTAGTTAAGGTTAAGATGACTAAACCATAAAAAAAGTTTTACACAGTGAAGGGTAAAAGTCTGCACATCTTTAGTAAAACACTGGAGTGTCCATATTGGTGACCCCTATAAAATCACACATTTGTTTTATTTTTATTTCCATTATTGTTATTTGTGTCGATTGTGACTCATCTTTTTATTTGCCAGTCACATTCCATTTCATCTTTATTCATGGGTGTGCAGGCTTTTGTCCATGAACGGAAGTGTTACACTTTCACTGCTGAAGCAGAACACATGCTGGCAGTATGATGCAGCAAACATGAGCAATGAAGGTTTACAAATAAAAAATGTTACATTAGGTGTATCATGTGCAACATGCAAGCAAGATATATTATGTGAAAGAAGGAATGCTTTCTCTATTTAAATAGAAATGTTAAATTACGTTGCACCCAGAACTACCCAAAACAGCCAATATCATTTAAAAGGTCATGGTTTAAATGAAATGCCCATCATTGCAATGTACTCAAGTTGGATAATTTCACACCTTGGTCAAATCAATACACAGTACTTACAAAACATTTGGTGGGTGAGTATACTGTATATAATGTGTTTTAAATGTAAACTAAAATACCTTACAGAAGACTGGGGGTTGGATTGTTTTAGGCTTTGTTTAAAAATACTTTACAATGGAAGGTGTTCCAAACATTAGCAGGATGACTTTCAGTTTTCCTCTTATTTCAGTCTTGAAATGAACCCCCAAAGCAATGGTTATTTCAAAGATTCATTGATCGCATGGCCTCTAGCTTGATTTTCACTAGCAATTGTTGACAGTTCCTCCCTTGGAAGAAAACTGAGCTCTGAACTACAAAGCTTCAAAAGTCAAATTGTAAATGTACACCTACAGTAACACTGGAACTGTGGTCAAATTACACATATTAAATGTTACAAACAATTTAAGTACTGTGGTATTAGGGACACAAAGTTAAGAGGTATTTATTAATGAAAAAGTGAAAAATGACAGGAGCTTAAATTTTTTTTTGCACAAAAACAGTACATTTATTCAAGTGTTCTCCAGCACAAGTACATAAGAAAGGAGCCTTTTCTTCTTTCTGGGCACTGAAAATAATGGGACGAAGGCGGACTGAGTCTGACTGCTACATTGGTTGTACGCACTGACCTTTAGAATAAGTATAATTCATATACAGCTATGTCACGAGAAATAGTTACACAGAAGTACAATAGAATCACTGAGAGAAATATAGAGCAATTGACCTGTAGTCTCAGACTTGTGAAATGCACGTTATTGTTGTCAATAAATATCGAAGCGACGGTAAAAATTACAGTCCAATGAAACAGAATCTAAAACAAACAATAAAAAAGAAACACTGACGATCCTGCTGCATGGAATGTAGGGTAAAGAAGCATTGCTGCCAGGGATCAAGCAAGTACATATGTAACAGTAAAAGTTATTACCAAAGGGGTTTTTTCTAATTTCCAATATGAATACATGATTTTCCCACAGATAAGCACCAACTACAATGTCTAGGCTAAAACACATGAATCTTTCCATTATTTTTTTACTTTTTATTTTTTTCAAGTACAAAGTTAAAATGCCTTTGTTAATATATTTGTATAAGAGTAAAATAATAGTGCTTTTTTCATAACTACGAGAACTTAAAAACAGTCATTGTCAAGACAAGTTGATTTTTTTTTCCTAACAATATATTTTTTTTTCTTTTAGCACCTTATGAAACACCTACAGTCCCTCTTTTAGGTCTTAAAAAAAGAAAAAGAAACAAACAAACAAACTACCGCATGTAGGGCTGTGCGATAAAGCTGAGTTTCTCCTTCTTAAAGCTGTTGACAAGTTATTGTTAAGATCACTTGACAAATCATCACAAGCCACATTTTCAATCAGACATATAAACTATTCATAAATACAAAAGGCAGGCTGGAAATCTCTCACCTCCCATTCCCACTGCTTCATAGCTTATTTGAATACAAATTAATCAGTTCTTTTTTTTAATCTAAGCTTTACTAATTTCATTATATATATTAGCAAAGAATCATATTTGTACATCTCATAGGTAATTTAAAAAGACATAACAAACAAATAGCAACAGGCGAACTTGTCTATATACAAAATCTAGGCATTGTAATTATGGAGTTGGACCAAAGGAGAAAGGAGCAAACATGATCAATATCAAAAGCTGAAGTTATTCAAGTCCAGTGCAATGTTGATAACTGTATATTGAAATATCTGCAAATGGTGCCCTTTTTTCACATTTGTTTTAAGGAGAGAAAAACAATCCTGTTTCATGAATGTAAAATTGGCTGACACTTGAGCTAAGTGGGTTAAAAATTTCCTCATTTTCAGTATTTGTGACAAGGCAGCAGAATCTGGGGGAACACTGTGTCTGAGATGACTAAGGACAACACCCTGCTTCACCTTGAGATATTCAAGTGCTGCATTTTAGTTCCTCTCTTTCAGCAATCATTAAAAGCAAGCAAAGTAAGTAGTTTTTCTATTTTTTTTATTTCTTGTGCACCAGGGAGTTTAAAGGTCAGACATATAGGCAAGTATAGTGATGACACCAGATTTTATAGCAGGAATCATAAGGAAATATGCAATTCCAGCATAGTTTTGAGGTTGGAGGGTGGTCAGAACGCAGTTATGTACCAGTAGCCAGACTCAAGCAGGATATTAATTTACACTAACCAATGCTCAGCTACAATATTTTAAGCAGTTCCTTTCTCCTATTTGTATCCCACATGCTGCACATATTTAATTTCATCTTGATATGCCAACTATAACATAGTGACAAATCCTATCCTAAAATAGAGAAAGATATGGAAAAAAAGGGGATCTGCTTTTCTTTACCCACTGAGTGTGCATGTGTATGACAAACGCCACACACATGCTCCCCCCCTCAACTAAATAGTATACATTGTTTTCCTTAAAATGATTGATCTCTTCCATTATACTTGATTAGAAAAATAATCACCCACACCCCCTTTTCTTTCACATCCATTGGCACAGCCCTAGCATGATCAAGTACTACAAGGGTAATACAGTTCACATCATAACGCAAAACAAAAAAAATACTCAAAAAGGAAGGGAGAGGGGGAGAGAAATAGAGAAAAAAAAGGAAAACATACATACAAAACAGCTAAACAAAGTTGATAATACAGCAAAAAACTCCTATAAAAAGGCAGAACAGCAATGTGAAAGCCGCACCATTATTCTTGTAGTTTGCACCTGACTGAATATAGCTTGCAGGGGCAAGGGGTGATGGTCGTGCTCACTAGGCTGTAAAACCGCCACCCTTCAACCCCAACCCCCTACAGAGTTGTACAGTAAAATGACATCAGTCTGAGTAAAACTGCAAAAGTAGTTTACTACAGCCTGTGAGCTCAAGGTTTTGGATGACGAAAAACATCGCTAACCATTTGGCTGGCTTAAGTTCGTTTGTGCTGCCACAGGCGTTGGCCTGAGTAAACAAGGCCAAAGTATTGAAAAGCACCAGTAAATTCTGTATAAAAGCTGTGGTAGAAAAGCAGTAATGGCAGATTATTTGCATTTTCTTTTTCTTCCTTTCTTTCTCTTTCTTTTCTGTCCATCTTTGTGTTTTTTTTTTACAGTGACTTCACTTGCAACTTATTGCGTTGTACGTCCCTTTCCGTGGACAAAGCCACGGGACATCACTGACAAAAAAACGAAAAAAAAAAGACAAAGAAAGCAAAAAAATAAACTCTTTTTTTATGTCGTCACAACCCTGTCTGTCGAAGTTGTAAGGCCACATGGAAGCGGATGTTTTTAATCATCTTAGTCTTTTAAAAGCACCATAATATAGTCACCATTGTACAGTAGTACCTTTAAGTTATGTATATGAACTGTAAACGAGAGGTAAAAGTGAATTGTTGTTTTCTTTCCAAGGATTCCTTAAGACAGAACCATCAAAACAGTAAAAAATGTATGCTTGATTGGTTCCTATATCTGTAAGGCTCAGCAACTGGAAGTGAATAGCATACTGTTGTGGCCCCCTGGCTTGTGCTCCTATCCATCAGAACCAGGCTGTAATGATTACAGAATTAACACACACATATATATGCTCATACACACATGCAGGATATATATATGCATCTTAAGAATGATCATTATTTCAGCTGTTCGGTATTTCTCAATCCTTCTCTTCAGAACATTTTGTCTCAGTGCTGTAAAAAGAAAGCCTTGTCTCAAGTACAGCTTGCACACATAAATCAATTTAAAAAATTTGACCGGATAACATTGCTAAAAATTAAAATGACATTAAAAAAATTAAATAGGATAAAAGAATGACGTTTAAAATACAAGAAATTATGTAAAACATCTACTTTAAATGTATTTTTTTCTTGTAAATAATCAGAGTAAAATTTCATTTTTTTCGCTTGTTTCCTGTTAAATATCAGTTCTTGTGTGTGTGTGTTTTTCTTTCTGCAAGTGTTTCGGGTTTTACAGACAGGCAAAGTACTCTTTTAGTGGTGCGAACAGGTGGCGAATGACCGGCACACTCCAAGACCTTCCCAAGAGTCTCTGCCTGGCCAGGCGGCTCATGTTGGAGACATCTGTGTAATGGACAGGGAAGCCAAACACCCTACGGGAGGGAGAGAAAGTAACGAAGAACAAAAAGACAAGGAATGAGCTTCCTGATTGAAACTCCCTTTGATGTCTAAGAACCCAACCTGAAAAAAAATAATCTATGGCCTGTGCCTCTTCTCTTTTTGAGGTGTTCTGCCATTCAGCCTGTTTGCTGATTGACCTAGACTGGACGTTTAGCACCATTCTACAGAGAACATTTCTCTCTATCACTTGTGGCAGAGCTCTGCGGTCTTAACAAGCTTTTTCCGATGTCCCTTCTTATACATCTGCGTTTACAGCGTTTTCTCCTGGTTTCTCTTTGTTTCTCCATCACCAATGCATGATGTCTGGTCAATTCAAATTACACACATTCTCATTCCTATTTATTGACAGGATGTGGTCTTTTGTAAAATGACCATATTAGTCTCTACTGCTCATGTTACTTCAGTGTTAGGGTAGACATAAAATGTACAATTTAAAGACAATATGGAAGCCGTAAATTCAACTCCTTTAAAGAAAGTACTGTGCATAGACAGT